TTGAAATTCATTGATGTACCTAAAGCAGTTTTAATTTTATGGCGCCCGTCCACGATTTTTTTTCAATAACCCCTCGTATGCACTCATTTTTGATAAGAAAAAATAAGATTAAAGATATTAAGTATTTTATCAGGAACATGATGTATGAGGCAAATGCATGCACTTGCTTTTGCATTTATGTTAAGGAAAATTAGCTTTCTTATGTTAAACAAAACCTTTGTACTTTAAGAAAAAAACATTTCTCAACATTTCATAGTGTAATTTCTAATTATGATAATTAAGACAAATCTGATAAACATTTTTCGAGATCAATCCTCTTTTAATTGACAGAAAACTCGCCTTTTCTATTAGAATGTTAATCTTTCTTTTGTCATACGTAAGAAACACAAAAAGGTCACACAATGTGGGTCAGAAATTCTTTTAAAAGATCATTTTTGCGTAGCATATCCAGATTCAATTATAATAAATAGAACAATTTTTATTCGGCGCATTTGGAAAAAGTGTGCACTGAACTTTAATTTCTAGCTAGCGTGAAAATTAAATGCATTTTTGACAAGCATATCTTTCAAACACATCTAGTGTGATAGAGCTTCGGCATCATTAAACGAAAAGAAATAGATAAAGGAACCATAGGTTTGAATTTCAAATCGATAAATTATCTGTAGAGGGATACAAAATTGCGCGGGGGTGATTTTCAGGGATGTCAATTCAGAATGGCGACCTTAACTTAGGCTTCACATTAGTAGTGGTTTTATAAGGAGACCTAATATGCATGTAAATCTCGTGTCTCTGTGTTCGCCCGTTATGAAAATTATCAATTATCCATTTTTGTTGATGCCTTAGCATACTCTACTAACTAGACAACGATTTCTTTATTTATTCCAATATCGAACTTTTTGTACCTTTGAATCTTCTCAGGACTTTTCGACAAATATTGTTTTCCGAGTTTGCTGGAAGAACGTTTTTTTTTTTAATATTTGAAATTAAACGAACTTCACAGATAGAGGTTTGGTATAAAATATCTATTATTGTGTTAATTATTTAAATTTGTATACGGATAAGACAACAAAATTCTCGAAATTAAATAGCTAGCAAAACATATATCACGATTAACATGATCAAATGTGTAAATTAAAAAAAGTATAATACGTAAATTTGTTGTGATTTGTTGTAGATGTTAATATTGTGCAATTTCTTCTGCATGATAGCATATTTTTCTGTAAGAAAAATCATTTTACCATATAAAATCTTATAAAGGAGTAATTATCAAATAGTAAAATTATGTGAAGATTTAAATGATTTTGAGACCTATTAGTTCTTATGATCTAGAAAGACTAAGCCAGTATGAACTAAGATAATAAATTTTACAGAAACATCATCTATCTTGATATAATTTAGAAGGAAGACGTATAAGGCCGTCTTTTAATCAATGTTTGTTTGCCCTTTTCAACCAACTGAAAGAAATGTCCTGACCTGAAACTAATTCTAAACCCCTGAAAACAGTTTTTTTTTCAATTATTCTAAAGTTTTTTCTTCACCGTTTGTAAAATTATTATTAAAAGCTATTAAGCTTATATTCGAAAGTGTCTTAATAAACAAAGTTACTTACCTACATTGTACCTTCTTAAAGTTTTCTTTGCAGTACAGAGACGGCAAGTCTTCAAAAAAATTGTGAGAGTATTTTGTAATTAAGTAAAAAAATACAAATAAAATAAATCCAGATATTTCTCATATTTCTTTTTACTTAAATCTCAGCATTTCCATGTTCCATGAATTTGTACTATTTTTCCATGGAAATTTGTCTTTGCACTTTATTAATTTGTTTCTTTATTCATTGCTTGATCAAAATTTATTTATTTTTTAATGTCATTATTTCATTCTGTTTTGTATTTTTCTTTACACATTTGTTCTTTGCACTTTAATTGTTTACTCTGTTATGCTGTTTGTTTGCACTTTTATTATTATTTTTTTGTCATTATATTGTATAGCAAGTATACCATGTATACGTACTTAGTAATAACGCTTCTGTATAAATTAATTGGATTCATTTTTTCTTTTCTTTTTTCCCACACCTTAGATAGAAAAAGAAATTGATGTAACTTATAAGGAAATTTTTTCGTCATTGTAAATCATTATAAATTCTTAACATTTGTAACCTTGACCTTGAAGAGGACTTATATAGGCCATGCCTGATGTCAAATCCCATTATGTTAATCTTACTTACATAAAGTATTGATTAAATTAAAGAGACGGCAAGTATCTTTAAAAAAAGATATCCGATGCAAATTCTGTGTCTTTTCTTGGAAACAAAGTAGCAAAGAATCGACTCATCTGTCTTGTTATTTTACAAAAAAAAAAATATATATAATTTCCTGATGCACCTGAATCGAACAAAATATAAGCGCGTAATAATATGAGATCAAACTAAGTATTTCAAACACACCTGCCTAATTAAATACTGATAAATAATTCTGGGATCTAATTTGTCAAAATCAGTGTAAGGTGAATAAATGAAGTAATTAAATTGCAAGATAAGAAAAGATTTTGGACAGAGAAAAAAATCAAAGGACGGCAGCACTTAAGGTGGAATGCCACACCAACTTTTTATTTTATAGATCTTTGAGTCATCCTTTTTACACAATGGTTTCAGCATTGAAAGGCCGATATTATCTCTCAAGTATTTTGTATGAATTTTTTGGTATTTAACAGAACTATAGGTTAACAAAGGCTAAGTTTTCTATCTGGAAATGTCTGCACTCTCATGAAATATAGAGTTTCATAAATTGTTGAGAAAGGTAATATAATTGAAGACTACAAAAACTTTGATCTCAAAATAAAAACAATTAACATTAAAAAGCAGGAAAAAGCATTTTCTCTTCTTTCTCAATGATATGTACGTGCAGAATAAACCAATTGTTTCTTATTATTTACACCATCTCTATAAATGATATCCGAGTATTAATCATACATTTACCCTCGATCCTAAAATAATTGGAGTAAAAAATATGATGGATAACATTCTAAGAGTGTAAAAAGAAATAAGACCTAAAGTGAGGGACAAAAAAAATCGACGGCTTAAATCGAGGGTTTTTACAATGTATGGATGTGTAACACCTTTATATGTCCAAATAATCTCACGCATAGGGCCACAGTGCTGCAGCTAAAATGATTTGCCGACCCCTCTATGAAGTTACAGTCAGTTGCTTTACAGGACTATCTGGTCAATTTAACCCATGTGACCACCACATTCATCCCACCTTTGTCCCCGAGGTCACCACTCAGGTTCGACACAGTTTTTCCTAAAAAAAATTATGCTTTTCCACAAAAAGAATAATTGCTTTTCTGCAATAACATATTGTTTGCTTTGCTGCTAATTCTTTCTATACTTATAATGTAAGAAAAAACCCTATCGCCTCTTGCTTGTCTTGAGGAGGTCAGTTTTAAAAATTAAATAAGTATTGAATTATCAAAGATTTAAAAGAAATAATTGTCTTGATTTTGAAGTCATCACAAGGAAAATGCATGGTTTAACCTATTGGCCTATTGGTACGAGCTTTATTGTTTGTTAAACAATAGTCAGACATATGTACAATACCATCTTTGCAAAGGTTTTTTTATCTAGAATCATTCCAGGATTTTTTAAAATAAAAGGTAAGGAACTCACAAATATAAACATTGAATTCTTATTATTGTAAATTAAAGATAGAGTCCAATTTATAATTTGTGTGAAATAAAATTTCCACAATGCACTTACGTGCTTCGAATTACTTAATTTGTTATACATACTTTTGCAATAATGCGACTTCATTTTGTCAAATGCATTTCTATTCTTAAATATGTCTAAATTTACTGAAAAAAAAACAATTTAAATGAACCAAGTCCATCATTAAATATTGGAACTTATTAAGTTTGTTAATTTGTTACTCAATTAAGTTAAGATCATTCTTCAATATTGGATCAAAATCAGTACATATTATATTATTAATTTATCCCACCATATTGAAAGTTAATAAGCCTTTCTAATGCTTATCTAAGGCTTTTAATATTATACCAACGTATACTGAAATAGAAAATATATTTCCTCTTAACCTTTAAGTGAAAAAAAAGTTTCAAAGTTTGATACATTGTTTCACACTTGTCAATCATGTCTAGACCACATCCAAAAAAATGTCCACAGAAACCATATTCTGGCATGTCAAGCAGGTCATAATTTCTTATAAAAGAAGATCCAGTTCTGTGTTAAAGGTACAGTGTGAACAATTTCCATTTAAAGATGATGCCTCTAGATGTATTCTGTGTTCTCATTTTGGTAAGTGCTCAAAATACCTCTTCGTCCTCAGAGACTACATGTATCTTTAAAGCACAAACCAATTCCCTTGAATACAAAAATAGATAATAGATAATTATCTGAATATAATGTGAAAATGAAATCGGAAAGTATTTTCGCTGGTCTGGTTTTTTTTTTCTTGTTTCTTTACAATTAAATACAATACCACGGTATATTTTGCTAAAAAATTACAGACACCTGTTGAATCCATTAAAATTTGAGGATTAATTTCATTTTTTCTAAAATAAATGTAGTATATTTCATAGGTGTTGTTTTAAGTGGAGGTAAAGAAATGTTTAAAGTATAGTTATCCACTGACGGGCTAATTCCCTATGGAATGGCTTTGTTTTCTTTAAATCAAATCTAAAGTGTATAAATCCAATGACAATATTGAAAGAGTAAAGTTTCTTTTTAATACATAATTAAAAACACTTGAAAACAATTATCATTCTTAGAGCATCGTCCCTGCATTTGGAGGAAATTATTTTCACAGCAGTTTTACAGGTAAGTTTTAAACCCCTACCATTTCTCTATTCTTGGAAATATTTTTTTTTTATCAAATTGAAAAAAAGATAAAAATTGTTTGGAGATTTAATAAGTTCCTAAAAAAACCTTTTTCAAATATTGAAATAGCATATTTCAAAAAATAGATATATAAATAATCAAAAGGTCATTTCTATTGATTTTCATTACTTAAAAATTAAATGAATTATAAAACACAACTTGCCTAAAATTATTGTGAAAAATTATTATAAATTAAAATCAAAATTTTAATTAATGACTAATATTACTGGTCCTCAGTATATTCAAATCAAATTACTTAAATATGATTCAATTCAATGCAAAAAAAATCTTTCATTATGATTGTTTTATTTTTATTTCTTTTTACTGTAATCATATTTGTTTGATATTCAGGATAATTTTGTTTTATTGTTTTTCTTTCTGAGCTACTTCAATGAAGGACGAATTTGATTTTTACAGTTTTTCGCTTTTGGAGTATTTACAGTTCTGTTTAATTTTGTATTTTTATTTTCCTTTACAAGCTACTCAAAGAGTTCTTTTCCTTATGTTAAAAAATATGTATTACTTTAACTTTCGTGAATTCAACCATCATATTGCCACAAATATATTCCGAAAGTTTATTTTGAATTCTGATTGTCTTTTTTGAATATTTAAGATTAATATGATCATTCGGCTTAAAGAAGCAAGGAATTTTGTCTTTAAAATAATTCCTTGTAAATTTTAAAGCTAAAAAAAAAGACATTTTGCGAGTAAAGAAATTTCAAATAAGCAAGTTTTCTAAAACGCCTTAATTATAAGTAAATTACTTTCACATCATTCAACAGTTTTTCATTAGTTAAATCTGGTTTTGTATTTTCACTTATCGCCTATTTGCATGACTTCTCATGCATGCATGTCTGGAAACAACAATCAAAAAAGAACGGAATGTCTACACCTGTATCGGAAAGATAGAGCAGAATTGCGTACGACCTACTTAAAGGATTTTTTATTGAGAGTTTCCGCCTGTTAATTAACCCCTATCCTGAATCTGTCATATGCTTTTGATCAAGGTAGTGTTGATTCTTCCCCTTTGGTTCAATGTAGTGCAATTCACCTTCGGGATAAATATGATAGTACATGTAAGTTATAATTCTGCGTAAAGTAATTACGAATTCGAGATATATGTACATGCATATATTTGTATAGGATATTTTTACAGCATTTCTTTTAAAGTTTATCAAATATATTACTTTAAAAAATGCGAGGATTTACTTGCAGAAACTAAAGAAGAGTTTTTTTTACAGAGTTATATTATTCTTTTTTCAACATACATTAGTTATTATTTCATCCAAGTCATATTTTTTAAAAAAATGAATCAAACAGTATTAGGTTAATTTAATCTTATTTAATTTATTTGATAATTTTGAAACTAAATTAGGTTTACCTTACCACAAGCCATATGTTAAGGACAACTTCTGTCCTAATGGTGTCCCAGTATCGTTCAGACCTCGATATGGGGCGTCTATCCCTAACTGTGATCCGCCACTGGGGCCTATCGAGGGTTGCGAGATGATTAGTAAGTATCAGTTGTATTTAAAAATTAATTTTCTTCATTTACGTGTATTTTTTGTTTAGAAAGGATGAAACTAAATATCTTCGGAAATATATTTTCTTTGATATTTTTCATTATAATTTGCTACCTCATGAATATTTTACAGCAAAAATATATTTCTTCAAAAATCAATTTATCGATTTTTATATCTTAAGATATAAATATATTTGCACCTCGGCCTTACCGATGTCCATACAATGGTTATGTATCTGGCTACTCAGCAGTTCCCAAGGATAAACACGGAAATGTTGCAGTTAAGTGTTGCAGAGGTATTCTCAAAATTCTATATTCAAGTGATATGATTTTTTTTTCATAACTTTCAAAGCCATAAGTACTGTGTCGCCAAATTTTTAGAAATCTAAATATGTCATCGTCTAGCAGTGGGCTTCGAACCCACGACGTATGAAGCAATTTTTTTTGCAGTTGAAGAGTAAACGCTCTAACTTAAAAGGGGATACTTATTCCTTCTACGCATTTTATCCCAACTCTGGAATTCTACAGGGATCTGTTTTTATACTTGTACTGTTTGAAGTTCTATATGATTGAGGAATGTTCGTTTTCTTCACACTTTTTCCGCTAAACGTTTAATTCCTAAAAAAACTCCCTTACTTATTGATGTATAGATAGTATTTGATTTGTCTGTACTTTACTAATTCTTTTCTCCTAGTTGAATGCCTTTTGTTTTCATTTGTAGCGCAGGGAGTCACTTATAACGAAAGAGAATGCGTCCAGTATTTTCGGTTGGAGGATCCAAGATATCCGTCCCCAACTAAACCCGGGTTTTATCTTGTTGGATCCACGCCTCTATTTATTCCTAAAGGGCAAGTATTTTTTTAATTCTATTTAGCAATACAGTTTGTGTCCCCGAACTGACTACACTTTTCTCAATATGACATCACATTTGAAATGAACTAAACCATAGTTTTTTTTCATGAAAACACTGATAATTTGAAAGAACTGACAAAACAGACGTCTACATAATACCGACGGTGGCTGGAGTGCTCTATGATCAGAAGGTCTTGAGTATATGTACATGTAGCAACCCCCTTAAATGAAGCCTAAAAAAACGATTTCCTGGGCCACTGTAGGCGTTGAGAAAATTATGACTCATTACTGCTCAATGACCCTAGGTCTCAATGACGAATAAAGGTAAAAAAAAAATTAAATCACTTACTCAGTGTTTGGTGACGTTCTCGAATGGGACTTTTACTTTATTCACGTACATTTCCTTGTAACAAATTTACACTTATTACTACAGCAATGAATAATATCATAAGCCATGACGTCATATGTTTAGTATGATGTCTGGAAAATGACGTAAGTTTAAACTTTCGACGATCTTTACAGAAAATGGTGTATATTATGTCAATATTTTGAGCAAAAGTTGCCGAGCGCATTTTACTATTACAAATGTGATTGTTGTCGAAGAAAATGAATGTTATTTAAAGAATAACCATTAATATATTAATTAAGAATTATAAATGTCCTCTTTATCTACCAGCACAAAATCTTATAATTAAAATAGATTTTGGTTTTTTTTTCCAGGAAAGTAGGTTTTTACAACACAGAATGCAGATTTGGCAGAAACAAGCCCTTCAATTCTAAAATTTATTGAAAGTATTAAATAACAATCTTGTTTTGTATATTACGCAATACCTTGTATTCATATCTGTGATTTCAAACAATATTAAATTTATGATAAATCTTGTACAATATTATTTTTGCATTATTATAGACTATAGTGTTGATGATTTAATCAAACGAATTCGCAAAACAACCTTCTGTTGTTTTTATTTTTAATTTGTAGAGGCCGAGTCTAATTCTATTTCGCATTTTTTTTTCGATTTTAGCACAACTTTTTAATTTCATGCAGTCAGGAGTGCGACTCTACACCTTTTCCAAATATTTTGATTTTAATATAAAATTAACAATATCTGTAACGCCTACTGGTCTGAAAATGAGATTTTACGACAATAAATATAAAAAACTCTAAAATGGCTCTAACAACTTCACTGTTTTCCGATTTTGTAAGCAATGCAGGGCGTTGAAAAATGACACATTACTTGCTTATATGTTTGAAGACGTCCATGGATATTATACTAAAAACTGATGACAGAACATCAAAAGAAACATACTAGCAATCTTAATATTGCTATTTTGCCGACAATTCATCTGCACCGATATGTATTCATACCACAATATGGCAATTTTAGAGGTATTGGGCATCGAAGAAAAACTTTGTAATTAAGACCTAGACCAACCTAGATGGTCAACTTTTTTGAAAGTTCACAATTTGGTGACTTTTTACACTAAATCTCCTTTACTTGACTGAAGAAGAAATCTTTAGGGCAGAAATACAAAAAAAATATGGGAAAATTTGATAATTTGGCGCTTTCCCATCAATTTCCTAAGGGTCAAATAGTAAAATTTGACAACTTTTGAGATGGCTCCCTAAGAAATCGGTGTGGTAAATATTCCATTTTTTAATCTTTAAACAATATATATAACAGTAAAAACTAATTAACGAAAAATTATAAGAATCCCTAGGGTAGAAATAATTAGACTCGTCCTCATCAAAAATATATTGATATCATTGTTTTAATAGTACAGATATTTAATTGCAACAAAGTTTGAATAGAAAAGAAATTATAAAGATATGAACTTGTTTAGCATGACATTTAGAGAAGGGAGAAACATTAGCTTTGACACTTAAATTAAAGAAAATTATATTTTAAAAATATCATTGTCCAGAGAACTATATGCAGTATTTTGGATATTTTTGCCCCCAGAAAAGCCATATTTTGAAAATTTCTTGAAATGTGCAAAATTGTATATATTTTATGAAAAATCTAAATTAAATAAAATATTATAATTTAAAAGTACATGTTGGTATATGATAAATTTGTGTTTTTATGACGTCATAAACTATCTGGATTTTGTATTAATATCAGAAAGAGTATATCACAATATTTGCTCATTTTTTATTATAAAATTTATAGAACGCAGGTCTTTGCAAGAACCATATGTACATATTTCATTGTTTTTATCATTTTACACATTATATCAAAATATTGAGGTGGAGCAGACCTGCGCTTGGCAACTTTTGCTCAAAATATTGACATAATATACACCATTTTCTATAAAGATCGTCGAAAGTTTAAACTTACGTCATTTTCCAGACATCATACTAAACATATGTCGTCATGGCTTATGATATTATTCATTGCCTTGCAGTCTGCAGATATCCCCCTGTTTAAAAACATAATTATAGATTTTTCCGTCAAAGCTTGATTTGGGACAAATATTGGTCATTACAGCATAGAAAGTCCTTACACTAATGTTTGTGATTTCAGGGAAAAAACATGTATAAAATTTTATAATTTGATTTTAATTGTCATTATTGAGAACATCTGAGGATGATTAATCAAAATTTTCGAGGAAGCTTTTTTGACAGAAGAATCATTCCTTTCTTTTATTCCGTCAGACATCACTAAAAAGTAATTTTATCTAGGTCATCAGTTCCAAAATGAGGCATTTTTGCTTAGCAGATTTAGGTCTTCCTAGAGGACAATGATTCTTCATTATGATTTTAAAAAATAGGCGTCGCACCAATTTGAAAATTATACCTTCAAAATCCTTGGTGAAATTTTATCAGTTATACAATGCAAGAGAGTATGTGACCAATATATATTTGAATGAAAAAAAATTCATAAATCTCTCTTATTGAAGAATTATCAAAACTACTACCTTCTTGTTAAAATGAAATACATCCTTAAAAGTAATTAATTGTAACTCTATTTAATTTCTAGGAAAATGAAAACAATACTTGTGTTTATGAGTGCAAAATAAAAAAAAAAACAATGTAAGTAAATTGATCACAAACGGTAAAACATAGGTCTTAATAAACAGTACACAACTGATTCAAATTAACCAAGTCGAACACTCCCGGTAAAAGGTAAACAAATTGAACACAACTGGTACAACATAGATAAATTGTTAACAACCGTTACAACGCATGCATTTTAGAAAATTTTAGAAGACAAATAGAAATTCAACATTTTAATAAAACTTTGATAAAATTTTATCCAAACAATTATATTTTATATTCGGTAAATAGAAATAAAGAAATGACTAATTGAATGAGGCAGGTGACTTCCTTTTTGAATTTACATCAAGGAAAATTAACTTATAAATAAGGATTTAAGAATGAATAAAATCACTATGCATAAAACATCCCCTGATTGGATTTCCAATTATGATAATTAATCTAAAAAAGATTCGTCATAATCAATTCTTGTTACAGAAATATGACATCTTTCTTTACAATGTTAGTGTTTTTTTGTGTCTGATACACATAATAATTATCACAATCAGACCATAACAAAAGTAATAAAATTTAGGACACGAGTTCTTGAGTTATTCACATTTGCATAGCCCACTTACGCTCGTCTAAGGTGAACTTTAAAAAAAACCCACACTTTTAATCAAATAGAGTTTCTACAAAGTACGTACTGAATTTTCAAACTAGTAATGTTTGAGGATACAAATGACAGATATATTTAAGACATGCAAATTCTTTTAAAAGATAAGCGAGAATTAGCTATAGATACATATAATAATCCTAAAGGAAAAGAAAACGTCTGAATCATTTGTTTTATTTGCTAAATTTATTACTCAAAAAGGGCCAAGGGAACCGTAGTTAAATTGGTTGGTTTGGTCCTCGTCTTTTTCAATTCAGAATGACGATTCTTTAGAGATGACCAAACATCGGAATTGGTGACATCTATCTCACTGAACCTTAGCAATGTCGAAAATATAAATTGAAATTCAACATTTTAAGCAAAACTGCGATGATATTGTGTCCATGCATTTAATGTTTAATAATGATATGAAATGAAGATTCTTTAAAATTTTTATTATGAATATATGAATAAAAAGCTGTCTTCTCTCTCGAGATTACTTTCGAAAAACTTAAGCCCATGAAAGTAACATTAAAGTTTCTCAATTTCAGGAAATACTTTAGGATTGGATAGTTTGATGTTCAATTATAATAATTAAGAAAATCTGGAGAACATTAAAGCATGATTCTTCTTGATCAACTCTTTTGATAGGAATGAAACTTTTTAGCTCACCTGAGCTTTTCTGATCACATTTTGTTCGGCGTCCGTCTGTCTCTCTAGCTGTCTAGCTATCTGTTTGTAGCTGTCCATCTGTCTGTCTGGAAACCTTTCACATTTTCGGCTTGGTCGCCAGAACCACTGGGCCAGTTTCAACCAAACTTGCCACAACGTATCCTTCGGTAAAAAGGATTCGAGTTCGTTAAAAAAAAAAGGCCACGCTCTCTTTCAAGGGGAGATAATTAAGAAATAGTAAAATTTTGGTGGCAGGTTTGAAATTCTTCTACTCTGGAACGGTTTGGTCTTGAAAGATGAAACTAATAATGAAGCATCCTCAGGAAGTGTAAATTCAAGTTTGTCCACATCATGACCCCGGGGGTAGGGCAGGGTTACAACGGACGATCGAGATTTACATAGAAATATATGGGAAAAAATCTTTTAAAATCTTCTTTTCAAGAACAACAAAGCCATGCATAATATTAATCATTTTTATATGGAAGCATCTTCGGGTAATGTAAAGCCAAGTTAATTCAAATGATAACCCCCTCCCCGTTCTGCATTAAAGCTTTTCCATACTGGATTGATTTTTTTTCAAGCCAAAGTGCTCAGGTGAACGATGTGGCCCATGGGCCTCCTGTTTTATAACTATGCTAATCAATATAAATTTTCCATTTTCAATCCGTAAAAAAAATCTATCTGTCATAATCACAAAAAGGTAATGTTGGTCACGAGCGTTTAATGAATTTCATTAATTATTCGTTTTCTCATATCATTCTAAGGTATCCTTGTAAATAGAATTTTTTTCTTTGATACCGTTCAGAAAAAGTACACATGTACTGATTTGAAACTACTAAAGATTTATCATTACATTTTTATTGGTTTTATCGTGCGCATTTTCTTAATATATTTTTTAAAGGTATCGTGCACGTATCTTAATTTATCGTGCACCTTATAAAGAAAACGATGCGGTCATTGTTACTTTACGTCTTTTTTCCTGATTCGGGAAGTGGCTAGCAAACTTTACTTTTTTAAAATGACCCCATACAAATTTCACTGTATTTGTTTTACTCAATACCCAACATATTAAGGTCATTATTGTGTCACATGCATTTGCAAAGAATTATTTTTGTTTAATAGTCCTGAATTTATCTAGATACGTTGGAATATAAAATTATAGGTGAAGCAATGTATTTCGAATATATCTATCTAACTAAATGCTTAAAAAATTATAATCTAATATATCAAAATCATGAAATGTAATGTATTTACATTCAGTGTAATTTTCCTTATGAAATCATTTAGAAATTCATGACGTTAAAATCTCTAAAACACACGCCAAACCTTGTCATCGCGCGTTAAAATACACAGTGGAAACTATATACATTTTCAATATTGTAGGAACACGAAATGTACAATGTTTTGACTCAATTTAATTAAAAACTATAACCCTGTTAAATTCACATAAAAATACATCAATTTTGCGTTAAAAATTAATTCGTCACTTTTACCTGGCAATGTTCGTTTGCGTTATTTAACTTTTCATAGTCACAAGCGGCTCTTACATGTACGTCAGTTAAGCACACAAATTTTGAATGTCGCTAAATTCACATTAAAGATTAACGAAGTAAACAATTATGAAGAGAGAAAATTGGAGAATTTAAATATAAGCATTTATTTAAT